TTTTGTTGGCATTTTGCCATAATGTCCCCAGAGACAGTTGTGCCAATTCTACTCACTGGATTCGCCAACTGAGCCGAAGAAATTGAAAAAAAAAAGCAGATTTTTATTGTTACCAGATCGCCGTCGAAATTCAGGCCCAATAGTGTGAACGAAGCAATATGCAAACCAACAACTTCAACCGCTGCTGCACGTAGAAGCGGTTGAGCCAGTTGAGTTGCACTGATCCAGATAATGGGCCGACACTGAGTCACACAGCTGGATGGGATCTCAATCTCATTGTCCCACTGCATCCCAATCAAACGTGTCTATCCGACAGAACAAGAGAGCGGCCCCTTCAATTTTCATTAGTGGCTCATTTTTGGGTCAAGTGTTCCTACACAACAGGAAGGAGCTGTAAGAGCTGCAGGGTATTCTCCTCGCGTACCTACGGCTTCTCAACACGGTGCACCAGTTATACAGGAAATGACAACGGCAATTGAAAAGTGTCATTTCAATGCAACTTTTGACATAAGATCACTGAAGGACCAAAAGATTCTAACGTGAAACAGTTAAAAATGAGCAGCTCAACCTTGAATAAAGTTATGACGGACACTTTTAGAATGACTCTTTCCAAACATCCCTGCAATTGATGGTTTGTCAAGCCGGTCTGTCTGAGTCTGCTGCCCTGAGGTGGGAAGTGTGATCTCAAGGTGCTTCTGTCTTTCACCTCATGCTGAATAACTACCCCTTTGAAAGATTATTCAAATATGCAGTGCATTCAGGTATTTCCCCTTTGCATAAAAAAACAAGCATATATGCAACTGACAAGAAATAATGAAAATAGGAACCAACAATCCATACAGTGGAGAAAGTTAAGTAAAGCAATGGAAAAACGCAGCAGGAGATGGAGATCTTCTGAAAGCGGAAGATTTAATTACGAGTAGCGTCTGTTCATGACGAAACTGAAAAATACCCAAATTAATTCTATAAGTGCCAGTCACAAACTTTAAAACTATGTAACCTCTCAGGTTAAATTGTTGTCCTGTTGTACAATCAACAAACCGTATCCTACATCAGTGTTCTGAGATCAACAAGGCTACTGGAGGAATGAACACAAACACGTTTTATACGGAGCTCATTCAGACCAACATTTGACAGTCCTACTGTTAAAAGCACTTCAGCCCATTTACAGGTTTCAAATCAGAGCGCATGTCCGTGAGATGTGGCTAATTACATCCAAAAGGTCTTCCGGGTTTACCGAAGCCGAGTGTTGATGGACCTGCCCGTCTGCTATCATCCAGCTCCCTCCTACGAGAGCTGACATTTTAATCCTCACATTGTTTACTGCATACCCAAAGACTTATCATGTGTGTCGGTTGATAAGTTATGCTAACCTTCCGCCTAACACCGCGATCAATTTCCATGTACCCCGTGCCGGCGTCGGAGATCGGGCAGCCACTTTATCTAACTGAGTGGCACTGCATCCTGCGAGAAGAGGAGCGGCGCCCGGCCCGACTTACAGCGCTGACAGCGCCTCCATTCATGTGCCTAATTTAAGAGCGGCTTCTGCTCTGTCTAATTAACAATTTACTAGGCCATCAGTCAGCCTCCCCATTGTGGTATAATCAGCGTCACCGGCGCTCAGGAAGCCCGCCGCGCGACGCCCCCATCTGCAACGGGATTAGGACAACGGCGCGACTCTCGTGGATGCACGGGCAGAAAAGTGGCCCCGGGCGAGGTCAAAGGTCCCCGAACTGAGAGATGTGTGCATGTGCACCGCGTCGGACAAATTAGCCAGCTCTGTTCTCTGCATGCTGGGATAGTTTATTGTTGTTGTTATTGTTGTGTTGAAGGGAGGAATCAACAGAGGCACATTTGCTTCCGAGGCCCTCCGGGGGGCTTTTGTGTTAGCCTGTCGACATGTAGCGCCACTGTGACGCAACTGCACATTGTGTGCAGACTTCACTTCCGTTTCCTCTTAGGGTTGGGCTCACAGCCACACGGGAGCTTTTCATTTGCTCGGTCATGCATGTGCACCTTTACAGGATTATGATTCAGCGTTGTGGTGGGATTTTATAAAAAAGACAGGAATAAATCCTCCATATGGGATCAATCCACCTCGCCATCCTAAAGTTGCATAACGCTAATTCTTCCGGTCCTCCCTCTGAAGACTAGAACCGACACTTGTTATTTCTGAAGAGGAGTGTAGGGGTTTTGGGGGCTAGCTTCTGCAGTTTTCGGGTCATTGTCTCTAAATATTGTGACAGTAGAATAATAACCCACAGAGAGGATTACGGACCGCTAATCTGGGGGAATAGTCTATTCCATTTCTTCTGCTTTCTGTATTATTTCGCCCCTTAGCTTCCTCTGTATAAACAAATAGAATTTTACTCGTTTATCCACTTAGTTCCTCTGTCTTGCTGATTAGCGATGAAGGGCTGGGAGGCTGGGACATCCTCGAGCGGATGGATCCAAGGATATCTGAGCCCAGCATGCCTGTGTGTATCATTGGATGTTTGTGTGAGCACTGTACAAACAAATGCAGTGCTACTTGAAGGGCGCGTCCAATTAAAAGAAGCCCCCGAAGGAGCTTGCTCATCCTGAATATAGCAGATCCCCTCTCAGATAGCCTGGTGCAGTTTGTCGCAGTGAGCATGGTATTAATACCACACAGGCCATGTTGATCAAAATATTTACATCTTCATCCTGCAATCGATAAAATGTATGAATACAATGGCTCACAGGATCATGGGTAAGGATTAACATTTATATGGCCATATAATAAACAGAAAATAAATGCCTGAAAAAAACGTTGAAGACCCTTGATTTGGACAACTCAGAATCTCTATTGGTGAGCAGAAGAATTGTAAGGTATCATCTGCTCTTCTTGGAGCTGCTCGGGTCCGTGGGTCAGGTAATGAGGCTTATTAGTCTTCATAGCTAGAAAGGTTCTAGCTCAATAGCACTCTCCTCTGTTGTCCAAGACTAGTGAAAATGGAATAATTGAGACCGGGGGGAATGCCACGGTCTTCAATTTAAGGCTGAATATTAAAAGCTAAGAAAACGCCAGAAATCTCAGCATCTACCAGAGCATCGAGGAGTCAGTCATATTGATCAAGATGTATTATCATAATTGTGTGCAGAAGTAACACATTCCACAGTTGTGGTAGCAGCACTAGAAAAAAAAATTGCTCTCGCTTTGCGGCACCATCTGTTACGGATGACATTCCGACACGTGATGAAAGACAATTTGAGCTGAAGCCCGTTAGTGCAACAGACGTGGAACGCATGATAACCGCCACGCTTCCCAATATCACGTGCATCCTCCATCTTCCTTTCCTCACACATTCCCACCAACTTACCCAAGTTGGGCTTGTTACGTTCGCAACAACAACAGATGCTGCATCTTGTGGCCTATTTCACTTTAAAGCATTAGTAAGTAGTATTTGGCAATGGCCCACCACAACCAAAGCAAAAGTTTAGCTAAATGAAGACCATTCATTGTGTAAAACCCTTGAAGAGAAAGCTTTCACTTCCACCATAGTAGGTTTTATCCATTAATCTGGGCTTGATTGGCTTTTCTTGGCAGACAGGCGGCAATGGCACGATCTCACAAGCAACAGCTTTCCCTCAAAGCCATTTCATCATGTGCTGACTGGGTGGAAAAAGAGTGTAAATTAAAGTCCCTCTTCACCCTGACACTTTAAACACAACACACCGACAGGCCATATTTTCCAAGCCAAATCAGAAGCCTTGAGGAGGGATACCAATTATAATTGCAGCAGGATACAAAAAAAAGACATAGGTGTGATGCTCAATCACACCAGTTGGATGATGAAAACCTTGCCGGAGGGTTTCTGAGGGACCCAGAGCCATTCGGCGGCGGTGGTGGGGCGTGCATTTAAATTCGCATCACCCTGTGACATATCAAAGAGAATACCCGAGTAGACGTGCCTCTTTTGATTTTAAATGCAAAGTTACACCGTAGGCCCACAATAATCTGCAGCTTTCCCACCATAATCCCGCAGTTTTAGCCCAGCAATGAACGACGTGAGGACCAGGCGGGAGCGTGCACAGCGCGTTGCATAAGCAGGCCCGCGCGCGTCCTGTGCGCTGGGGTGGGGCAGGGTGGAGACGATGAGGGTTTTCCAAGTTGGACGGTGCCTACATGCACTTACGTCTCATCGAGGCGGTGCTTATCACGCATCGCACGCCACGTCAGTGTTGTTATCTCTGCACTGCGTTATTTACACAACACAAGCGCAAGGCAAGCGTGCAGGAACACACGCGCTGGCATGCCAGGTGCTCCCTCCCTCCCCCCGAGCACCGTGCCGCCCCCACCTAACGCGCGCAGCGTGCCACTGCCAAGACACGCGATTCTTAGCCATTTCCGGCGGGAATGGAGGACCATTGTTGACCTCATTAGAATACCGCAGGCTAAAGTGAGCAATTCTCTCTCTCTCTCGCTCTCTTTTTGGCGGCACCCTGGCGGCTGGACGATACCTCCAAAAAGCACCAATTACGCGCCGAGCAGCCGGCGGTGGGAGAGGTTCCGTTGGACCATCTGCGGAGTTCAACGTAACCTCGTTCCCACGGCGCGCAAGACGTGCTGGTCGGATGCCCGCGGTTCAGTTGCAATGCCATGGGCAGCATATTGACCACCACCTACACCGCACACGGAGGGAGAGGGACACGCAGGAAAATATGCTCCGAATTATGACTCAATTAAGAGCCAGAGTCAAGGTCGTTCGGAGCCGCGATAACTGCCACTGCTTTTTGGTACCGAAAATAAAAGTGCTGCTGTGTAGATCGGAGGTGTTTATCAGTCATCTACCAGCTCGACCAAACCCCGGAGGAGCCAGCAGAGCAAAGTCCAATTAGGACATCTGATGTATCTTTGGCTGTCTCTGTTCCCCACGGACCAGTGACACTGCTGTTAATTTAATCATTGCGCAGTGAGAATCCTCTTTTATGCCAGAAACTTTCCAAAGACGTATTATTATTTTGTGATGCGTACTCACCGTCAGTAATAACGGTCTTCATGATTTAGTTGTGGGTGGAATCCAGACGGTGTAAATCCAAGTCCGACGGATCCCAGCGTGCGCGGAGACGCGGATATCCGCTGTTTTATTGCAATCTGTGGGCAACTGCGAATCCAGCGGACGGCGGGAGACGGACCGCCTCTGCGCCCTTCAAACTTTAGCCGTAGGTCTTCCCGAGTGGGGAGCCAAGTCTCCGGCTGCACCCGAGCTCAGTCATTTGGACGAGGGATTCAAGAAAAGATTGTCAGCAAATAAACATCCAACATTAGGATCAGTAGACTCTCGACGCACCACTCGATACCCAGCCACCCACAACCCCACACCCCCCCACACCCTCCCTCCACCCCAAAAGAAAATTGCGGGACGCGCAGACAGAGCCTCAAAGTGTTAAGTGGAGAATCAATGGCAGAGGCGAAAAATTAGTATTGGATCCATGTTTTGAAAGCGCAGCACATATCCTGTCTGTGTATTTCCCAACGAACACGGAGAAAAGAGTTGCGGATGCGCACGGAGGGCGGCCGCACTGCTGAGCGTCAGTGCGCGTTTACCACGGGGAAGTGCTACGGGGAGGGCGGGGCAGGGAGGTGCGCTTGGTGGGAGAGGAAGAGGGAGAGAGAGAGAGAGGAACGTTTTATTCACCCTGCAAAAGAGATGTGTATATAGCATGTATATTCTTTTTACATTTTGGGGGTAATTGTTTTTGTGTGGGGGAAGACGCGGGAGATTTTGCGCGTGTTTTGGACTCGGCTGTGTTTTCTGCCTGGCTTCATTAAAAAGCCAACACACATAAAATGTGGTGAAAACATACGGGAGTCTACATAAGTGATGGACTTTAACGATCAAGAGTAAATCTCAGACTTAATCACTTATTCAGACGGACATTTCTTGCAGCGCAGGGCTCCTTCTCTGATGAATGTTTGATGCGCCGGGGTGGAGGTGGTGATGGTGGTGGGTGGAGGAAGGTCACGTGAGGGGAATCTATTTGGATCGGACACGGCCAGGCACGAACATGCATACGAGAAAAGCTCCCAGAAGACCGGAGAGCCCGGCTGCTGGTTGGACCGGCGCTCCCTCCCGGTGGGACACGCGCTCCCTCCCGGGGACACGACTGGACAATTTGGCTGCCTGATGTCGTAGGCGGAGTTGTTTTCAGTTCCGCTTACAGAAGAGACAGCAAAACACTTCAGATCCTAAACCTACCTGAGCCCCAAAATCATCTTTTTTTTAATGACATGAATAGTTTTTTCATTGCAACCTTCTAAATTGATAACGTTTGGTCATTTGAAATGTTTTCTGTATAGTAATACTATTATTGTCCAACACAGGCAGACATTCCTCTCTGCATTTATGTGGAAAGTCTACGCGCCGCATTGCAATCCGACGTCAAACCTTCCGTTTTCCCTTCATTTTGATATGAAATCGGCGGCTTTTGTAAAGTAATTTGACTATTGCGCGATTGAGAAGAGCCGAAGAGCTGTTCGCCGTCTCTCTTATCAACTCGGCAGTATGCACGGTGTGCTTGATGCCCGGGAGGAACGGATCCACAGCAGCGTAGCCTGCTGATCCATCTGTAGGCACCACGCGCCCCCTGCCGGCCTCACGGAGCACATCTTCAGCACCATGGACAGAGACAGCTCACCTCCGGAAGGTGATTCCCTGCTCACCGACAGCAAGGCATCTAAACCAGTCAATGTGCACCAGAGAACGTTTGCCACATTTACCATGAGGAAACCTGGGATATTTCCACTTCTGTCACATATATGGGAAGGTCTCCCAATTGCAATCTTGCACACTTGGAGTAGCATCTTCTCAATGATTATCTTCGGGAGCAGGTGAATTGAAAACCACAGGTGGACGGTGTAGTCCGATGAAATACGGGTATGAGTGGCAAGCTAATCCCGAGCTTACAACTGTCCCGATGTTGAATCATACCACGGGAATATGTCGGTGAACCAGTCACATGGTATTTGCTCACAGCGGAGGCCGCCGGGGCCAGATGGCCGGTAGAGACACGGTCCAAAGCTGCCGCGGCAACCTGCTGCGAAGGAGGTCACCCCGAGAGAATAGGAAACGCTGTCACCTTCCACGGTCATCTCTTTCTGTCCTGCTTCATCCGTGTGGGCCGACACGTGTGTGCGCATAATCCCGTCGTTCATCTGTATGCTCTTTGTTTGTATGCATTGCACCGTTGCAGGGAAAGTGCCTTTTGCTGTGTTGGATTTTCTCAGGCTTTTCTCAAGAGAGAAAAATAAAATAAGAATGCTTCTATCCCCACTAACGCAGGCAACATTCATGTATGTTGTTTATATTAAGAATATAGTAAATATATTCCTGAATAACCAGGTTATGTAGATGAAATATATTTCTTCTGTGTTAGGAACTGATTGAAACAGAAACGGAGTAGCTATAACAAATATGTATTTATTAAGTCTTTTTTAACATTAACGCCAAATCTGCCCTCTGAAATACATTCCCCGAGTTCCTGAATATATTCCCAATTAGAAAAAACATGAATTTGACTCACTAGTTAAGATGTCTGCCTTGTGCCAGGAAGTGAAAGGTAAACCGTGACTGATTACTGTACCCACCCCAGCTCATTACACAGAAGCGCCACTCACTCCAAAGTCCTCCGCTCATTCCATTAGAGTATTTCACAATGATATGCGGCGGCAAGTGAAAAGGACAAAGGTAAATTGTCACGGGAGCTTTGAGGCCGGGGGCCTTCGCGCGGGCGAGCGGCCGTAAATGAACTGAGGGTGGATCACCGCCGTGCCGGTGCAAAAATGAAGAATGCCGATCTTTAATTCATGTCGGTAATGAAATGAGTCAAAATGCTGAGTCTCAAAGGCAGCGGATCCCAATGCCAAAGCCCGGCCATTCTTTCATCACGGGCTCATCGACGGATCAAAAGGAAAACGGGGGCATGAATGAATTCCTCTGGTTATGGGAAAGTTAGAGCTGTCCCGCCGCTACAAGAGCTACAGTCTGACCAGCGTTAATTACAGACACGGATGAAAGATAAAACCCGAGGCTTTAACTCACTCGGGATGAAAAGGTTGGCCGTACAGGTTACGTGAACACTGAAGGTCATCAATCCAACGCACACTCAACGTCGAGCATAGCTCTGACATTTTGTCAGAGGATTAATCTCTTCCACGGCCCTTTCAAAACGTGTAAATCTTCAAGAGAGATTAAACTAAACATTCTTTGCCGCGTTTTTTCCGCTTCTGGGTTCAACCTGGAACTGGAGGAAGCCGGTACCTCCGTCACTCTTGGCGTATTATTAGTATTTTTTCAACTTTGCCACCAAACCTGCTGCGTGGGGTCACTGGAATGGAACCAACATTGAATGTGAAGGAACTGTAAATAAATATGAAAAAAAGGATAGAAAATGCAAATGCTACTTGGATGGTGAATCTCTGCTGGCTGAGTTTTGAGATTTGTTTGTGGAATATGAGAGAAAAAGCCAGTTCAAAGCTGTGCTGTCATTTTTTATACTAATGGTTGGAGTCATTTTTGTTGTTTTTTTGCACATGATAATTAATTTTTGTGAATTGACCCCATTAAACAAACACACAAACAGGAACGGTTACCGTTTGTGTGGAATATATCCTAAAAAATAGCACTAAAGGTAAGAGGGAAAATACAATTGATTGTCCCTTCAAGGGGAGGTGCATTTGTAGAACGTGGACTCGCCAAACCTTGTACATAATCCTGCAATTCACAACCAAATGACCTTGGAGTCCTTCGAAGTCCAAACCAGATGTTTACATCTGCACTGCAGATGTAAGGTGTTGTGCGAATCAACTTTACCGCCAGTAATACTACTACTGCCTAAATCTGTCAAAACAAAGTTCTGCAGCTAACAGTGAAAGACTTTGAGAACATTGTTGATTTTCCGATCGTCACGCTGATACGGCATCTTGCAATCGGAGTTGCCCTTGAGGAGCAGAATGCAATCACAACGACAAAAGCCGCTACTCACTGTTCCAACCGTTTCCTGTTTTGTTTCATTGCTTCTCCTCACCTTTCCTTTTTTTTCCACCAAACTCGGAGGACAAAGGGTTCAACCTGCCTTTCCAGCTCCTTGCTCGTCAGGCCCGGGAGTCACATATTAATTCCGGGCCGGGTGAAAACCCCGTCGGCCATTAAGATCAGGTGACAGCTCATTTTCCTTGGATGGCCGCGTGAGGCGATGCCAGTGATGGGATGGTTCTGTTTTCCCCCGGTCTGTAACCTCATTAACTTATTGGAATAAAGACAACGCAGAGTTGTTCGCACTAAGCTGTAATTATGCTGATTTACTCACTTTCTGCTCTCACTCACTCTCTTCTCTTCCCATTTCCTATTTTAATTAGATCCTCCTCTACTCAAACATTGACAATGTGGATTTGTGGCTTTTGACTCATGAATCAAGCAACCACTCACCCATCGCTTCTCATATGAATTTGAATGCTGTGTGTGCGTGCGAGAGAGGAGATAGGAGAGGGAAGGTGGAGGCTGAAGAAGCATCCCCGTGCAAACATGCCTTATGTCTTCACTAGTCATATATTACCCGGCCCGACAAGGCTACATTCCACGAGACTGTCAGCGGGTCGGAGAGGACAAGTGTGTGGAAATTTATTCCCCTGCCGCTGCACATGATTGGTGGCCTGACCTTGATCTTCTTTTTCCTTTTCAAGTCAGAGACAAGTGTGAAAAGAAGGGAATAAAGGGTCAGGAGAGAGAGAAAGAGAGTGACGCTTGGATGAATACACGCTTTGTGCATCTGTCTCATGTGGATCGCCGTTGATCCGGTCTTGTTTGCCCGGCGGTAGGGGCACTCACAACCTACGCACGAACAACATGAGGGTTAAAAAACATAAGCCAAAGCCCACTTTGTTTGTCCACTTAAGTCAACTCTGACTGAACTATGGATTTGCGAGGGAAGCCTAAACCCGATGCAAAAATGTTATTTCAAGTGTGCCTGCCTAAAAACCTGTGAAACTGTCACACCTGTATGTCAAGTTGCGTTTTTGTCCTGTCTCCAGTTGTTTTTTGACTTCCTGTTTTATTTTGGAAACTAACTCCCTCTCGTTTCAGGTCCCTTTCCCTTCCTCATGTGTCACCAGTCTGATTGTCTTCCCTGATTCCTGATTGTGTCCACCTGTTCCCACAACTCCCTCATGGGTACTTATAGTCTGCGTCGCCCCTTGTCCTGTGCCAGTGTGTCTTGTTGTTTTGCCCTGCACACCAGCCCTCACGTCACGAGTCTAGTCAAGTCCGATAACGTTTGTCACGTCCTTTTGATCCCTGTTACGTTTCCTCGTTTAAGAGAGATTTTGAGTTTTTGCCTTTTGAATTTTGATCTCAACCTTTTTCCTCATTAAGAGAGATTTTGAGTTTTTTCCTTTTGAACTTTGATCGCAACCTTTTTTCCTCATTAAGAGAGATTTTGAGTTTTTTCCTTGTTATTAATAAAAGCAATATCAGCTGAACCCTCTGCGTCCGAGTCCTCCTCCTCCCTGCCTGACAGTACACACTGG